CAACGTCGTGGGGGTGACACGGCAGCAGAACATCGTGGGGTTGACATGACAACGTCGTGGGGGTGACACGGCAGCAGAACATCGTGGAGGTGACACGACAATGTCGTGGGGGTGACACAGCAGCAGGACTTCATTGTGGGGGTGATCCATACTGTTTATCTGTCTCTGTTGATAGGCATGTGGTGTCTGAAAAGGTGCTGTGTTTCTCCGTCATCCTCCGATGGACACTAGGGCTCACCTACCTTTTGGCCATTGCCGATAGTACTGCGTGTTGTCTGTGTGGAGATTTTGATTACAAGTGAACTGCTTGCATTTTGCTCCTGGTGCCATCTCTGAGCCACAGCTGAGTGGAAGCTCCTCAGGGCCTCTGCTCATCTGTCCTCTGGCTCCAGGCTTTGACACGATTGGTTCTGTGGCTCGTGGGCCCAGCTAGTCCCCCTCTTTAGGGTGAGCCTCTCCCAGATCCCTGTCCAGTGTAGTCTTCACGTGGGCAGTCTGTTTCCGAGTGGCCCTGTGGCGAGCACGCCTCTTCCTTGGTCGTCTCATGCACGTGAGCAGAAGTTTGAGTCTTGCTCACTGGTCTGTTTCCAGAACCCAGAACCAGGCAGGAGATGGTGGGTGGGGGGTGCACAAGCGAATGAGTGTGTGACCTGCAGATGACCCAGTGACAAACATGGCCATGTGAAAGGACAAGCAATGAATGGATGGATGAGCAGATAAATGGATTAAAGAGCAGTAACTGAACAAGCCTCAAACAGATGAACTGACAGAAGAAAAAACAAACAAGTGAAGAGTGGATTGATAAATGCATCACTGGTGAATGAACAAATTAATGAATTCACAAACAGGCGTGGACAGATGGATGGTGATCAGGTCGTGTGTCTGTGGTCCTGAGAACAGCTAGGGGTGGAGGTGTGAGTGTAGGCTGGTGAGACCCACCATCTTCCTTCTGAAAGAATACAGACCAGAGTGGGCCATGGCTTACCAGCTGGGTGGAACCAGCCCTGGGCTGGGCGAGGGAAGAGAGGCCAGTGTCCATAGAGACCCTGATGCACAATGGGGCCTACTCATCACACAGGAGCCTGTGGAGACCAGGGCTTTGGACTTGCAGAAGCCCCCCACCCCCCAGTGTCCACTGCACCATCTAGCCTCTCAGCGTCACCTGGAGCAGGAGCGTGGCCCACCTGGCGGTGTGGCACAGAGGCTGACCCTTGCCTCTTGACCATGGTGGCTTCTGGTGTTAAAGCAGGGTGCCTTACCTGCAGTGCTGCCGCCCACTCCTTTCAAGAACAAAGGGGGCAGATGGTAACGTGCAGATGCCTCCGTGACCCCAGAGCTGAGACCTGGCCCCACACCCATTCCTTCTAGTCTTCTCTCCCCTCAACCCACAGAGTGCACATGACCCAGTGAGGCCCAAGTAATGCCAGAAGGTCAAGATCAGGCCCAAACCTCCTGGCCCTGAGGTACAGCCAGGTCATGGTGACCCCATGGGCGGTGTGCAGCTCCCCACGGGGCTTCCGAGGCTCTGTGATGGTCTCTGAGGAGGGCATCAGAGTAGTAACTAGAAACAGCATCTGCAAACATGAGCCCTGGTGGTGCAGGGGCAAAACACTAGGCTGCTAGCCCATGACAACCAACATCTCCAGGTGCCACTGGGAGGTCTCCTCCCTGTCCTCTGTCACTGCGTGAGACAGCAGGAGATTGCCTGGCCTTTGTTAGCATGGGACACTGGGAAGACAGGTGGACCCCCACTGTCCTGTGTGGTGACAGAGGACACAGAACTCAGGGACACTTCAGGTTTGGTTCCTGACCACTTTCGTAAGGTAGATGCTGAAACGCACGCTTGGTGAGTCACATTGGTTTTGTGCTCACACCAGATCCAGTCCTTGGGGACCCATGGGTGTGGTCTGTGGAAGCCTGTGGGTATGGTCTGCTGGGGTGGGGGTGGTCTGCCGTGGGTGTGGTCCACTGTGAGCTGAGCTGCTCAACCAGACGCTTCGCTCAGAGGCCTTGCATTTGTCCATTGCTCCTTGGGAGGAAGATGAACAATCCCACACGATTCAAGGCTCAGAAAACCCGCTGGAGGCTGAGCAAGTCGCTTTTGAGTCAGTGGTGACGAGTGTAGGCCGTGAGGCGGCAGGGAATGGCTGGAGCGTGAGCCAGCAACACAAGTGCCACACGCACTCCGGATAGTGGCCACGCTCAGCCTGTGACGCCTTGCACAGGCCCACCTCAGCAGCCACGGCACCTGCACACATTGCCAGTTCTCCTGCGTGGCTGTGCAAGTGATTCCAGGCAGAAGGAGCAGCGCCAGTGGGACTACTGTGCTTCGTTCAAACCCCACAGCCGTAAATGCTCCCACAGAGCGGCTGGTGGGTTAGAACCGGGAACCTTCCCGTGAGCCGCCCAGCATGTGACACGTCACCGGGCTTCCAAGTGTGTGGGTGGTGGGATGTCAGGTCCACCACAAGTCAGCGACCCTCGGGCCCAGAGGTCTGAACCCGTCCTGTCGTTCCCCACCCTCGCCGCCTCCAGTGTGCCCAGTTCCAGGGTTGCAGCCACTATGCCAGTCTTGGTGGAGTAGTGGTCATGCTGGCCGTCGTGGAGGGCCTGCGGCCATGGTCTGGCCTCTGCTGCTTGCCCACCCTTGCCGGCCTCTCCCTCCTCCCTGCTTGGCTGGGGGTTATCACCTGCAAGCTGGTTTTCTCCCAGACAGGCAGCCTGTGCCTCCTTTCTCGTCCAGATAATGAGTCATTGATTTCAATAATAATTGCTTCCATGATTCGTCAGAATCCATTCTCTCCCGACTCACTCCAGCTTTGCCAATAGGAGCCATTCTTCAGCTCATTGACCTTCTGCAGGCATGAAGAGTGGCCATTGTGGCCATCTTCAGCCGCTGGGTCTGCACGCTTGCTGCATAATACATGGTCTGTGCTGTTGCCGCGGGCTGCGGGGCGCACAACGCGACATGGGGGCCTGTGCCAGCCCACACCCATGAAAGGCAATCTTGTCCTGGCTGTTCAGCCATAGGGCCTCATTCATGCCTTGCGCCTGGGCAGCTTGGGTGCAGCTCCTGAGAGAAGACCCTGGGCGAGAGCTCTCCAAGTGGGGCTCGGCTGTCAGGGTTGCCTGTGTGGCCAGGAGTGGTCGTTGGTGGAGGTGGGCGTGCTGGAGCAGGAGAGGAGGCTGGGGATTCATGAATGGAAAAGAGGAAGCAGTTCCTACTGGGGACTGGGCCTCAGGGCTCAGCGGTGACTCCGAGGTCACCTTCCATGCAGAGACCCCAGTTTGAGTCCTGTCCTCATGAGTGGACCTCATGCCCAGCAGTGCACCTCACACCCACCTGTCCTCTATTAGGAGAGGCCTTTTGGGGGCTGAGCAGCTTTCAGCAGAGCTTCCAAGCTAAGACTAGGAGGAAAGACCTGGTGATCGGTCTGTGGGTCACAACAGTGGATCTGTTCCCGATCATGGATCTGTAGCCAATCACAAATCTATAACTGACCACGGATCTGTGCGCTATCAGGGGGATGATGCAGTACTGGGCCGTGCTTTGTTCCCTGTACTTGGTCATCATGAGTGGACAGATGGTGTTGTCAGAGTGCAGTGCTCTGTAGAGGTGTGTGTTTAAGTCTCCAGCTGGGGAAACAGACCCAGCGAGGCTGAACCTGCCAGCCTGTTTAGAAGGCCTGGCCTCAGGAGCTGCTGAATGTTCCAGAGACTGTAGCTTGGAGGGGTGGCCCCTACCCCCGCCAACAGGCTCAGCCTGGGAATGGGCTGCCTTGGAGTCTGAGACTCTTGGTGGCCAGTGGCCATGGCCTGGAGGGCCAAAGGTGCAGGTCCACCGGGAACAAGGACTCTGTTCTGCAGAGGCCACTGGTGGTGTGAGCCCCCCACACCCTGTATGTGTCTCATTGTGTCCCTCATGCCCCACAGGTGTACGTGAATGGAGAGTGGGTGACCAGCATCAGCGAGGGTGGCAGCTTTGGGGAGCTGGCTCTCATCTACGGCACCCCCAGGGCAGCCACGGTGAAAGCCAAGACGGACCTCAAACTCTGGGGCATTGACCGCGACAGCTACCGCCGCATTCTCATGGTGAGTGGTGACCAGGTCCCTCGGGCACCTGTGGCCAAGACTGGTCTCATTCAAGGCAAGGATGTCGCTGAATGGGAGCTGGTTCTGCTCCTTAACCATAAACTGGCCAATGAGGTGCAGTGTTGCCGAACAGCTTCCTGAGGCTCAGCCAGCTGGGAAGGCCCTTTGCTTTGCCCCCCTCCCCTCTGACTGTCATGCTGTCGTGGTCGGCGTGCCTGCTGGCCTCTCGGACCATGAGGTGAACTCATCACCAAGATGGTGGAACAGACATGAAGGAGCTGGGTTCCTGGTGACACCGGGAACCCCTCAAACCAACATGTTTAATCCCAGCCTTTCACGCTATGAGGGTGACCCTTAGGATTTTAAGCTAGCCTCTTTTTCTCTCTTTCCCTCCCTTCTTTTTGTTGTAATTTGCATGAGACTTTACCAAACAAATAGATTTTTAATTTAGCAGTTGATACATTTTGTTTGCTGACATTAATGACCATACTCGCCCTGTGACTGCATCCTCCCCACTTCCTCCCTGTGTTTGCAGTTCCCACTCATCCTCCAGTTCTACTTCTTCCTGCCTCTGACACTTCAATCCTGCGTAAATGCTGCCCTGGTGGTTGGGAATGCTTGGTTGATCTAAGGAGGGCCTCTTTGGTGTTACTGTCCACCTTACTGGCCTGTCCTTTGGTTGGCTGAACGTTAAATTCTGGAACTGAGATCCAGGTTTGAAGATGACTGAGGGCTTGGGTTCTACCTGTCTTCCTCAGACCTGTGAACGTGACCATTGATGATTGATTAGTTCCAGGACCTTCTGCTCTGATCCCTAGTGGTCACTGGTGTAGGCTTACTCCGCAGAGGGCTGATAGAGTGCGAGTGGGCGTGCTCATGTGTGTGTTTTCACGTGTGTGTGCGTGTTTACAGGTGTGCTCACAGGTGTTCATGGGCTTGCACATGTGTGCATGCCCTGTGTGTGCACACATGTGCCTGCCTTTAGGGGTGTGCATGTCCATCGGCGTGTGCTTGCTAGCATGTGTTCATGTTAGCGTGTGTATGCGCCTTCACATGTGTTGGTGTCGACACATGCTTGTTCATCGACACGCGTGCACATCCACACATGTGTTCACATGTGCGTGCATGTTTCAGGTGTTTGTTTGCATGTGCAGACGTTTTCCCTAGTGTGCATGTTGGTCCAGATGTGTGTGCTCATGTGTGTGGCAGTGCATGCGTGTTTGTCCGTGCATGCATTTTTATGGATGTTTGCACATGTGTACATATTGCTCTGTGTGTGTGTGTCCTGGGCTCTGTTGGGCTCTGGGGACGTTGGGCGACCTTGCCCACAGGGACAGGCACTCACACAAGCTCCTGGAGAGAGGAACTTGGGACTAGAGACGACCCTTCGTCACAGAGACCCCTTTGATGGTGACTTCGTACCTGTCCTGCCCACAGGCACTGTCCTTGCATGAACTTTCTTGTGACACTGACAGGTGACATAGGGCTCTGTGGGGGAAGGAGTGGCCAGCGGTGGAGGAGCATCGAGGGTTGTGCCACGAGAGGAGTCCTTCAGTGAGGGGCAGCAGAGTGGTAGCTGCCCCAGGGCTCCCTGGGAATCAGGAGTTGGGCAGAGCATGCAAGCACACAGGTCCTGGGCGCCTCTAGGTGTGGTCGTGGGGCAGCAAGCAGCCATAGTGGGTGTGAGCGTGGGGGGGTCACTTCAGAGAGGCAAAGGGTACCTGACTATGAGCCAGGAACCATCAGGAGACACCACATCACCCACATCTCCCTGGACCACTCCAGGTGGCAGGGTGTGGGTCCCTCAGGAGGGGCTGGGTCCCTCAAGCTTGTTTCTCACTTGGGCAGAGCCTGCTTGGCACCAAGGCCCCCGTTTTTGGGGCCTCACACTCCCCTCCATGTATTTGCCCCTGTGGTGACAATGACTGGGGATTCTGGTTGCCACGCTGGCCAGAGGAGGTCCAGGGGAGCCTGGTGGTTACCGCCTCTGCAGTCCTGCCTGGCATCCCTCAGTTATCCCAAGCCCGGCTGTGCTTGCACCTCCCCGGGCTTATTGGTCCTGGGGTCCCTCAGCCGAGGATGGAGGTGGCCACAGAAAACTTGGGTTCCCAGGATCTCCCTCACATTGTTTCTACATCCTGCCTCTGCCCTGCTCTGTGCCCAGCAGGAGGTGGACGCTTAGCCAGCAGCTACGTAGTGCAGCCTCAGAGGTTGGACAGTGGTCTCCTGCTTCCAGGACAGAGCTGGGGGAGCACAGAAGGGGGGGCAGAACCCACGGCACAGCTGGAGGGCATCTGGTGAGTCTGTGGGCATGCACCTGTCTTACAGCCCCTTGCAGCTTTGTGTCCACATGGACAGAGTGGAACTGGAGAGTACTCCCCTGGACAGCAGTCTGTCCTGCTGTCGCTAGAATGACCATTTCCTTCATGACACCAAGTCGCTTCAGCTTGGCCTCCCAACTATTACATTGTCTTCATATTTGGTGAGATCCCCAGTCACACTTGACCCAACCTGACTGTCCACCACCATGTGCCTGATGGACATTGAGTGTCCACTACACACAGACTGCGTGCCCACACACTCCTTGCAGATGCTGACCAGGTACCTGCCCCGTGCCAGTGGCTCCAGTGGTGTGGCCACAGCGGGAATGAAGGACCAGTCCTCGGGGGGGCTGTTCCATCTCGTTTCTGCCTCCTCTTGTGGGGAGACCTGCCCATAGGATGGAGTCCAGACGGCCGCACCCAGCCTGGGGAGCAGGACGCAGACATGCCACTTCCTGTCCTTAGGCACCTGGCCGACCCCATGCCGGCAGCCTCTGCCCTGCCCTCATCCACTGTCCACGCCTGCCTTGGCTGTGGAACTTTTGCGGCCGGAACCGTCTATTCAGCAACGTTCCAAACCACCACGGCAGTCGGCACTTCCTCTGCTTTAATTCTGGGGCCCCGGGTGCTAAGAATAGCCGTGCTGTGGCAGGCAGGCCGCCGGGCCGGGCAGCTGGGTGGTGAGGCAGCGCCCTGTGGATGGGGTCTCAGTGCCCTCGGCCCTTGATCACAAACCATTCAGGATCCAGGGTTGCGCAGGATGAAGCCCTTTCAGCTCAAAAGAAACAGAAGCAAGTCCACGAGGGGTTCTGATTGACAGCGACCCTGCAGAACAGAGTGGTCTTTGCCAGAGGGGCTGCCCCCGTGCCCGCTGTGCATGGCTGGTGGATTCTGAGTACTGATCTTCAGTTTGCAGCCCAGCACGTTCCACACTGCCCTCGACGCATGTCTACAGTTCCAGGGTGCGATCCTGATTGTTCTCCAGGATGGCCTTCTCTTGTCTCCTTTCTGAGCACGTTCTAGGGGAGGAGGGACTTTGGCGAGGCCCGGCCGCCAGCTCTCTGGCTCCTGGACAGGACAGGGTCTGCCTTACCTCCAGCGCCTGGCGCTGCTCCCTGGTCCCCTACTGCTCGTCGGTTCCCTTTCAAGCTTTGGGCCATGGTTCACCTGAATCTCTCGGGGAATCCTGTCTGCTGGGGCTCTGCAGCTGTTTCAGTGGTGGGCTTCCCACCGTCAGGGTTGAGGAAGAGCGGGCCACCACCATGGGATCGAGCAAGCACAGCCGACTGGGAGCATGATGCCGTATGGGGCAGGGTCTCCTGTTGGGGCATCATTGGCACCCCACAACTACAGCAGCACTGTCCTGGGGCTCCCTGTGGGGCCATGAACCAGTTACTGAATGCTGCAGGAGTTGAATCCACAGCGGTCAGTGGAAGATGAGATGGTCTGTGTCTGTGACAATGGCTGAGAGTCCCTGGGGAAGATCTGCTCCATCTCGTGAGGTTCCTGGGGGTCAGAATCTACTCCATGACTGTGTGAGGAGGGGGTGTGTAGGCTCAGCCATTTGCACTGTGAACAGCCGAGTAAGGTTTAATGCTGGGACCATTGGGCCAAAGCTCCAGTAACCTGGCCTCCCAGCTCCTGGGTCCCCAGTGCCTCCGCTGACCCGTCCACTGTCTGCTCTGGTGCCTCTGAGCTTCAAGAAGCCTGTGTGCTCTGGCTTGGCTTTGCCCCTCTGTCTAGTGGGGCTGAGTCCTGACCCTCCTGTTTTGGGGCTAAAAGGGCCTAGCCCCCAAGTCTACATCCCTGCTTTGTGACAACACCCAGGACCGTGCCCCACCCATCCCCGCGGCTCCCAGGACTCAGCAGTGGTGGGGTCCTCACATCAAAGTGCTGGTCAGTGCCACCAGGCTAGCGAGGATCAAAGTGGCCACACTAGCCAGCCTTGCTGACCAGTGGCCAAGCCCCAGCAGTACAGAAATGCTGTTCATTCATGCTGTTAACCCTCGAGTCTCCCAGGCGAGCTGGAGGAACACGCTCCACCAAATTTAGGCAAACACTTGGGGAGGCACCCCATTCCCGGGGCCTGGACTCACCCCTCCACCACTGGGCTGTGCTGCCAGGTGTGGGGCAACAGGAATTCCAGCATCAGAAGTTCTGACAGAAGCTCCAAGCCAGTGCCCAGGCATCTGGAAATAAGGGGTCCGGACATCAAGTTCCAGGCCTTCCAGCTCTCGAAGCTGGTCTAAGAGGGGCTCTGTGGTTCACCGTCCCCAAGCCACCACGACGTGGAGGACAAGGTATGGACTCAGTGCCCATGGGAGCTACCTGGCCTCTGGCCCCAGCTCCTTCCACACTGGAAACAACTAAAACCCTGTTGCCACCAGGTAGACACTGACCTCCAGGACCCTGTGTGTGGCAGTCACACTGTGCTGCTTGGGGTTTTCAAGGATGGACGTTTCAGAAGTTGACTGCTGGAACTCAAATTGCCAGCCTTTTGGTTAACAACCGAGCTTATTCACTGTTCTCATGGCCAGGACCCTCTCTGTGGGCAGTGGTGTGACGGAAGCATGGTGATGACACATGCCATTGGCTCAGCAGAGTCCATGGTCCTCCGTGACAGCAGGGATGTGGAGAATGTGGTGTCCAGCTGTAACTCTTCTGATGGGGAAACTGAGGCCCAGAAGGGCAGGACAGGTCCAAGAGTGCGTACGTTTTAGGTCTGGGCAGGTTGGGGTTAGGCCTGGAGTAGGAGGCCTTGATTCGGGGCTCTTTTTGTATACTCAGTAAGGGCCGTCTTTCCCAGCATCATTGCTGTGTTACCACTGCCTCCATCCCTGTCACCACGTCCAAGTCTATCCTCACCACCACCATCAATACCTCAGACGTCACTACCAACATCAGTATCACACTACCTCCACCTCCACCAGCACCATCGGTGCCCCCAACATCACGACCACCATCATCACCATCACACAACACCCACCTCCACCAGCACCATCAGTGCCCCATCATCACCACCAACATCATCACCGTCACCCTGCCTCCACCTCCACTATCATCACCATCACACTCCTCCCTCTTCACCACCACCATCAGTACCCACGTCAGCACCGCCATCGTCAGCACCACCCTCAATGCGGTCATCACATCACCATTTCCACTGCTGTCATCACTAGCAGTTACCATCAGACCTTGCCTCCACACCCCCCCACCGATTAGTATCATTACCACCATTGCTGTCATTACCTTAGTCGTCTTTATTCCACTGTTACCAGCACCACCTCCACTGTTACCACTGCCACCTCCGTCAAGGTCACCACCACCATCACTGTCTCCAGCAGCATAACTAACGCTCCCCGGTGCTCAGTCTTGCGATGACCTGGTGAGGCAGGTGCTTTTATCATCTACCTCACCGAGGCTCTGAGTTTGTGGCTAAGTTCACACCTGGCTGACAACACGTGGGAGGATGTGCAGTTGGATCAGCTTCCTGTGTGCTGGGGCCCTGGGACTGACGCAGGCTGTGGGTCCTTCTTTCCTTCACTCCCAGCAGTAGGTGTGGGAATAAGTGGCACCGGGCCGAGCTCTGGGGCTCCTGGGGATGAGATCTCATCTCCACTCCAGGAGCCTGTGTGCTGGACTTAGATGATGACATGCTGGCTGGCCTCTGGGAGGCAAGAGAAAGAGGCATGGTACCACTGACGTGCCATGCTGGCCGGACGTGATGCGTGGGAAAGGTCAGCCCTACCACTCGATCAAATTCCAGAACAGACAACTGTGGAGACGCCCTTGCTTGGCTGTGGCAGCCGCAGCGGGACTTCAGAGCCCTGCCTTCCCCCTCGTCACAGTCCACATTTTTGGCATAGTTTTCTGGGACAGGCATGTGGCTCCACTCGCTCTCGGCCAGGCCCTTCATCCTCCAGCCATTCTTTCCCAAAGGATCTCTTCTTCCTGTGTCCCTGCCCCTTCCCAGGACCAGGATTTCCACTTCTGCAAACCAGTCTTTTCCTTCCATAATGGTGAGGGAGGCCGAGATCCAGACCTGCATGCAGCTCTGAAGGAGAAAGGCGGTCAGACTCCTGTGCGGGGCAGGTCTCTGCCTCACAGCGTCGCCATGAGAGATGGGGCAATGGCAGTGGGTTTAGTGTTGGAACCTCTGAAGTACTGTTTAGCTTGTGCTGGATGACCTGGGCTGGGGAACACCTCCTCAGACGAGGCTGCCCACCTTGGATGGCACCTCTGGGGCTGAGGGTCTGGTTCTGTGGGGCGCACTCCCTTGGTACCAGAGGTGGCAGGAGACTTCCTCAGTGAACCCCTTGGCCAAGCCATCTGAGAGCACAGGGTGGAAGCCACAGTGTTTCTTAGCATCAGCTGGTGGTCACAGGTTGTCACTTCCTTAGTGACTTCTTGATGCTAAGGACCAGGCCCACTGGTGTTCAGTCAAGTCTGTCAGGCAGCAGTTTTGTAGGGCAGAGGTGAACTGCCGAAGGACTTCCCCGTCCAGGACTCTGAGCAGCAGGCATAGGGGAGCTCACTGCCTCCTCTTCCTACTGTATGTCAGTTGGCAGGCTCAAACTGCTGTCCTTTGGGTTAGCAACCTAACACTTAATACACTGTGCTTTGGGTTCCATTGGATTCCATGTGAAGGTTCACCACACTGGGTGTAAGTTAACAGTGGCTTAGACCACACAGTCAGTCTGACACCTCCAGGAGCCTTGCAAATGGATACATTGTTCTGTGAGTCAGTTCCGAGATCCCTCACATCTTCTTGCTCCCTCATCTCTCAAAGGCCCAAGATGGCTGCTGGAGCACCAGTCATCACTCCCATATTCCATCTAGCAAGAAGGAGCAGACCTAGATCTATACTAATTTCCGCCTTACAGGTTGTTGTAACTTTTTGCTAACTCACACAAGGTCCAGTCCCTTGCTAAGGTGCGGGCCTTGTCCAGACAGGACCATGTTTATTGGTATTATTTAGCACTCTTTTGATTGGTTGTGTGTGGTGAGGGATGTAATTTATGGCTGTTTGACCTGAAAAGAATGTAACATAATCTTCAGGCACAGTTGGTCCAGGTACTTAGCCAATGTCTGTTGCACTCTCTTCTGCATTACACACTTGATTTTGTCAGTTCTCTTAAAAAAAAGTGTAGCAGGGCCTTTGGGAGATTAAAGAGAGGAACCCAGTGCAGACAGCTTCCAGCCGGGCAACACTGAAAACCTGAAGGAAGTATTCTGATTGGCTGTATCCCAGTTGATTGGGGTCTGTTTGCCAGAGGTTTAGGAACTGTGGCTGAAAGCCCCTGCAGAGGCCCTTGAGAGAGGATGTTTCTCCCGGCAGGGCAGTAGGGGGTGTTCAAGTACCCCACAACCCCATCACTTGAGAGGCTTTGGGAACTTGGGGAACGATTAAGGCATAGAGACCCACTTTCCTTCCCTGTGTTTCTCTCCTCACAGGGCAGCACTTTGAGGAAGCGCAAGATGTACGAGGAATTCCTCAGCAAAGTGTCCATCCTCGGTCAGTGCCCTACCAGATGTGGTGCCCACCTGTCTCTCTGTCCGGCCTCAGGGAGCTCTTTCGTCTCCCTTGGTCACATACACCAGTCCAGTCCATCCCTCCTGCTGTCTGGTCAGCTCTGCAGCCGTGCACACACATCACACAAACACCATGCACATGCGCGCGTGCACACACGCGTGCTATCCACTCTCCATACATGCACACACCCGCACCGTCAACAGTCGTCGTCGGGCATGTACACATTAACACATCTACAGTCACACACAGGGCTCGCTAGCCCCGCCCCGTCCGGCCACGGCCCCGCCCGGCCCCGCCCCGTTAGCATCACCCCGCCCCATCGTCACTAGCCCCGCCCCTCACCACCGCCTTTGCTCCTCTAGCCTGCCCCCTCACATCATCCTGCCTCTTGCATGATGTCCTTTGATCACCTTTGCCCCGTGATGGACCTAGACCACGCCTCTTGCTAGTCCCACCTTTATACGCATCAGCCCCGCCCACTCCCATACACGTGGGCCTCGGCCCCGCCCCTCATAACTGTGCCTCCCCACTTCTTGTGAGCCCCACCCTGCACATGTCAGCCCGCCTTCATACACGTCAGTCCCGCCCCTCGTACCTGCACCTCTCCACCTCTTGCCAGCTCCGCCCCTCGTGCATATAGGCCCCGCCTCATAGACGTTGGTCCGCCTCTAACGTCAGCCCCGCCTC